TCTTCGCGTAATCTTCTTAATAAGCCTCATATCTTGGCATGATCTTACTAATAATCCTCACGTTCTGCTTCAGTCTTCTAAAAATGTTCACGTCTTGGAGTATTCTTCCTAATAATCGTCACTTTCTGGTCAATCTTCCTAATAGTCTTTCCGACCTGGTGTAATCTTCATAATCTTCACGTCTTGACGTAATCTTTGAAATAATCTACACGTCTTGACGTAATCTTTGTAATAATCTACACGTCTTGACGTAATCTTTGTAGTAATCTACACGTCTTGACGTAATCAGGTACACCGGTACATCGCCACTCAGTACACTGGTGTTATGTACATGTTTCCTGAGGCTCGTCTTATGATTTGTTCACACAAGAAGGAAGAGAGAGGAGAGAGAGGAGAGAGAGGAGAGAGAGCGAAGAGAGAGAGAGGAGGCAGAGGGAGAGAGAGAGAGGGTGAGTCGAAGGAGAGAGAGAGAATGGAGGGAGACCCGAGAGAGAGTAGAGAGAGGAGAGATGACGAGCGAGACGAGAGAGAGAGAGAGCTGAGCGATAGAGAGAGAGAGATAGAGATAGAGATAGAGATAGAGATAGATAGAGAGAGAGAGAGAGAGAGAGAGAGAGAGACTCGTCTTATGTTTTGTTGACACAAGAAGTAGAGAGAGAAATACACTGTGATTGACTTCATTCTTAATGACGTGAAACATAAGATATGCTAGAGTAATCAGGTCGTTATTCTTGTGTTTGGGCAATCAGATTTAATTATTCCTTTACCCCGGGGGATATTTGAATTAGACATACATATAACGCCAAACATTTCTTAAGAATGATCTTAAGATATAATTATAAAAATATGCAGTTCTCAAATATATCTTAAAAAATGTTTATCTCAATAATATTTTCCCACCTTTCGTGTGCTGCATCTATACTTAAGACGGTCCACAATGCAAGTTTTACCCACTATGAGCTCCAAGCTTTAAGATTTGTAATGAGGTTAAAACTACTTGTGATTTTTATGAGCGAAAAGGCAAGATTGAAATTCTGGTTTTCTTTTCAATGAACATGGCGAAGTTTGTATATTATTACCTGTATATCTTTTTTTTTTATGTATTCAGCTAGGTGTGCTTGTGGGAGGGGGATGGGGGTGGAGCTTCGGCTCTCTGGTCCCGCCTCTCAACCGTGGTTGAGAAAAAAACAAAGATGGGACGATCCGTTTGCTAGTTTGAACGTTGGGTGTGTGTAAAAATGTTGATTGCGTGTATTCGTATTGTGTGCGTGCTTGCATGAGCCTTGCTGTGTGTGTGTATATAAGCCTTGCGCTGTGTGTGTATAAGCCTTGCGCTCTTGTGTGTACAAGCCTTGCGCTGTGTGTGTACTTGCTTGTACCGTGTGCGTACTCGCCTGCGTGTTCTAATCAAATATGTCTTCCCGAAAACATGGAGAATTAGGGGGGAAAAGCAAGGAGGTGGTGATAAAGGGAAGAAATGAGGGAAGACTGGTCATATATATATATATATATATAGGTGGTGTTAGGGGGGTAAAGGCAGGGAGGTGGTGAGGTATAAGGGGGGTGACTGGTAATGGTAGAGGGGGAGGCGGGGGAGAAGGGGGGGTGGTGAGGGAGGAGGGGGGGGGGAAATATGGGAAAGGGGGGCGGGGGAGGCTGGGAACTGCGCAATTCCCTTGATACGAGGATTTGCCATTTAAGAGAGCAAGATATTCTGCCGCCCAGCTGGGAGACACTCTGCTCCCCGCTGATCTCTGCTTAACGAGAGGGAGCAGACACGCCAGCATAGTGGTTTCATCTTTGCCTGAGAGCTATAGCAGACATCCCAGCAGAGCGTGGGACCTGATCTCTGCCTTAGAGCTAGCAGATAGCCCGTCAGAGCGAGTGGTCTGATCTCTGCTTACTGAGAACTAACAGACAGCCTAGCAGAGTGAGTGGTCTGATCTCTGCTGACTGAGAACTAACAACAGAGCCCAACAGAGTGAGTGGTCTGATCTCTGCTTACTGAGAACTAACGACAGAGCCCAGCAGAGTGAGTGGTCTGATCTCTGCTTACTGAGAACTAACAGACAGCCTAGCAGAGTGGTCTGATCTCTGTTGACTGAGAACTAACAGACAGCCCAGCAGTGAGTGGTCTTATCTCTGCTGACTGAGAACTAACAGACAGCCCAGCAGTGAGTGGTCTGATCTCTGCTGACTGAGAACTAACAGACAGCCCAGCAGAGTGAGTGGTCTGATCTCTGCTGACTGAGAACTAACAGACAGCCCAGCAGTGAGTGGTCTGATCTCTGCTGACTGAGAACTAACAGACAGCCCAGCAGTGAGTGGTCTGATCTCTGCTTACTGAGAACTAACAGACAGCCCAGCAGTGAGTGGTCTGATCTCTGCTGACTGAGAACTAACAGACAGCCCAGCAGTGAGTGGTCTGATCTCTGCTGACTGAGAACTAACAGACAGCCCAGCAGTGAGTGGTCTTATCTCTGCTTACTGAGAACTAACAGACAGCCCAGCAGTGAGTGGTCTTATCTCTGCTTACTGAGAACTAACAGACAGCCCAGCAGTGAGTGGTCTGCAGGGTGTTGGACTGGGGTTTCTTCTTTCTGGCTTTCAGGAAGAACTGAAAACCACAAAATGGAGATTAATACAAACTAGAACGGCTCACCACAAACTATAGGGACTCAACCACAAACAAGACGGTCCCACCACAAACAAGACGGTCCCACCACAAACAAGACGGTCTCAGCACAAACAAGACGGTCTCAGCACAAACAAGAGGGGCCCACCACAAACAAGAGGGGCCCCCCCAAACAAGAGGGGCCCACCACAAACAAGACGGTCCCACCCCAAACAAGAGGGGCCCACCACAAACAAGAGGGGCCCACCACAAACAAGACGGTCCCACCCCAAACAAGAGGGGCCCACCACAAACAAGACGGTCCCACCACAAACAAGAGGGGCCCACCCCAAACAAGAGTGGCCCACCACAAACAAGAGGGGCCCACCACAAACAAGACGGTCCCACCCCAAACAAGAGGGGCCCACCCCAAACAAGAGGGGCCCACCCCAAACAAGAGGGGCCCACCACAAACAAGACGGTCCCACCCCAAACAAGACGGTCCCACCACAAACAAGACGGTCCCACCACAAACAAGAGGGGCCCACCACAAACAAGACGGTCCCACCCCAAACAAGAGGGGCCCACCCCAAACAAGAGGGGCCCACCACAAACAAGACGGTCCCACCCCAAACAAGAGGGGCCCACCACAAACAAGACGGGCCCACCACAAACAAGAGGGGCCCCCCCACAAACAAGACGGTCCCACCACAAACAAGACGGTCCCACCACAAACAAGACGGTCCCACCACAAACAAGAGGGGCCCACCCCAAACAAGAGGGACCCCACCACAAACAAGAGTGGCCCACCACAAACAAGAGTGGCCCACCACAAACAAGAGTGGCCCACCACAAACAAGACGGTCTCCCCATAAACAAGAGGGGCCCCCCACAAACAAGAGGGGCCCCCCACAAACAAGAGGGGCCCACCACAAACAAGAGTGGCCCACCACAAACAAGAGGGGCCCACCACAAACAAGACGGTCTCCCCATAAACAAGAGGGGCCCACCCCAAACAAGAGGGGCCCACCACAAACAAGACGGTCTCCCCATAAACAAGAGGGGCCCACCCCAAACAAGAGGGGCCCCCCACAAACAAGAGGGGCCCACCACAAACAAGAGGGGCCCCCCACAAACAAGAGGGGCCCACCCCAAACAAGAGGGGCCCCCCACAAACAAGAGGGGCCCCCCACAAACAAGAGGGGCCCCCCACAAACAAGAGGGGCCCACCACAAACAAGACGGTCTCCCCATAAACAAGAGGGGCCCACCCCAAACAAGAGGGGCCCCCCACAAACAAGAGGGGCCCCCCACAAACAAGAGGGGCCCCCCACAAACAAGAGGGGCCCACCCCAAACAAGAGGGGCCCCCCACAAACAAGAGGGGCCCACCACAAACAAGACGGTCTCCCCATAAACAAGAGGGGGCCCACCCCGAACAAGACGGTCCCACCACAAACAAGACGGTCTCAGCACACACAAGGGTTCACCACAAGCAAGACGGTCTCAGCACACACAAGGGTTCACCACAAGCAAGACGGTCTCAGCACACACAAGGGTTCACCACAAGCAAGACGGTCTCAGCACACACAAGGGTTCACCACAAGCAAGACGGTCTCAGCACACACAAGGGTTCACCACAAGCAAGACGGTCTCAGCACACACAAGGGTTCACCACAAGCAAGACGGTCTCAGCACACACAAGGGTTCACCACAAGCAAGACGGTCTCAGCACACACAAGGGTTCACCACAAGCAAGACGGTCTCAGCACACACAAGGGTTCACCACAAGCAAGACGGTCTCAGCACACACAAGGGTTCACCACAAGCAAGACGGTCTCAGCACACACAAGGGTTCACCACAAGCAAGACGGTCTCAGCACACACAAGGGTTCACCACAAGCAAGACGGTCTCAGCACACACAAGGGTTCACCACAAGCAAGACGGTCTCAGCACACACAAGGGTTCACCACAAGCAAGACGGTCTCAGCACACACAAGGGTTCACCACAAGCAAGACGGTCTCAGCACACACAAGGGTTCACCACAAGCAAGACGGTCTCAGCACACACAAGGGTTCACCACAAGCAAGACGGTCTCAGCACACACAAGGGTTCACCACAAGCAAGACGGTCTCAGCACACACAAGGGTTCACCACAAGCAAGACGGTCTCAGCACACACAAGGGTTCACCACAAGCAAGACGGTCTCAGCACACACAAGGGTTCACCACAAGCAAGACGGTCTCAGCACACACAAGGGTTCACCACAAGCAAGAGAGAGAGAGGCCCACCACACCTCCAGAGGAGCTCGCCACAACACCCAACAAGAAAGCACGCAGGAATAAGGTGGTGAAGGCGGGCGGTGAAGGAGGTGTCGAGAACCTACCGACAGTGGAGGATGATGGGTCCGCCGGCGAGGTGCTGGTGGTTCAGGGCAGCGAGCAGCAGGTGGAGGATCCCGCCGTAACGATCCTGCTCGTCCTCGTACCGCTCCGGGTCGAAGTGATAGTGGCGCACTTTCCGACCACCAGGACCCTGTACAACCAACACCAATTGTATGATTTACCATAAAAAATATCACTAAATCAGGTTTATTATTCAACTGAATGTACAATATATCACATATGTTGACCAGACCACAAACACTAGAAGGTGAAGGGACGACGACGACGTTTCGGTCCGTCCTGGATCATTCTAAAGTCCCACAAGCGACTTGACAATGGTCCAGGACGGACCGAAACGTCGTCGTCGTCCCTTCACCTTCTAGTATGTGATCTGCTCAACATACTTTAGCCACGTTATTGTGACTCCTCGCCTGCATATCACATATGACGACAAAGTGACGGCACACACAAGGGTGTACGACGTCACTTTCATGACATTAATCACAAGACCTCATAACAAAAAACTAAACAATATAACTCTCCGCAGTCACACTGTCCAAATTGAGGAGGAAGCCTTCTCTCCTGGTCATACATAAATTGAATTCTTCAGCCCAATTACGCTGCGGCGTGAATACTGAATGATAACCTCGCAGCAGACACACACACACACGGACCTAATACAACCAAGACTTCCTTCCCCCTAATGCTATATCAGCGGGTTCTCACCCCTTAATGTACCAGTCCGAGTAATATTATTAATAGTGCGGTGCATTTTTTTATGCAATGCGTGTATTGTATAATCGGAAATACTACCGCTATCATCGCTGTTACTTCCACAAGAAAAGGCAGCTATTTCTGTATTGACTGTGAATAATTCTCTTGACTATTGGTACTACTTCTATTACAACTTCTCTTGCTGTTGTGGAATGCTGCTGCTACTGCTGCTGCTACTGCTGCTGCTGCTGCTGCTGCTACTACAACTACTGCTGCTGCTACTGCAGCTGCTACTGCTGCTACTACTACTACTGCTGCTGCTACTGCAGCTGCTACTACTACTACTGCTGCTGCTGCTGCTGCTACTACAACTACTGCTGCTGCTGCTGCTGCTACTACTACTACTGCTGCTGCTACTGCAGCTGCTACTGCTGCTACTACTACTACTGCTGCTGCTGCTGCAGCTGCTACTACTACTGCTGCTGCTGCTGCTGCTACTACTGCTGCTGCTGCTGCTACTACTACTACTACTGCTGCTACTGCAGCTGCTACTACTACTACTGCTGCTGCTGCTGCTGCTACTACTGCTGCTGCTGCTGCTGCTACTACTGCTGCTACTGCAGCTGCTACTACTACTACTGCTGCTGCAGCTACTACTGCTGCTGCTGCTCCTACTACTACTATTACTGCTACCACTGCTGCTACTGCTACTATCACTATTTCACCACCAGACCACGTTTATCATGGCCTTTCATCCGCAGCTGTTTAAGCAGGTCTTACCACGTGCAAGCTGAGGTCAGTGACGTAAAAGTGCTTCCTTTCCTGAAGCCGCTGCTGAGCCAACTGCCGCTGACCCTCGCTTTCCCACTGGTACGTAACGCTCCAATCATCTTCCTCCTCCTCCTGCTCCTCCTTCTGCTCCTCCTTCTGCTCCTGCTCCTGTCTTCCTAGTTGAGAAGTCTGTTCGCCGGATTTATCCCGCGAAGGACCGGCCTGTGTCTCCTCCGGCTTTGTGTCCATCATTGCGTACTTCTCCTGCATCAGCAGGCATCTTCCAAGCAGCTTTTCAATGGAAACGGTTTCTGCCATTTCCTCCTCCTCTTCCTGATTTCCCTCGGTCGTTTTCTTTAGTTTTTCCTCGCCGACCTTGCTATCTTTTGTCTTATTCCGTGTCTGTGTTTCCTCGGTGTTCTGCTCCGTAAATAACTGCGGGTAGGCGCACTCACTCTGGTTCTTCACCAATATGCTGGAGGTGGTATCGGCGAAGTAGCGGGAAACTTGCCCAGGTAGCGGCCAGTAGCGAGGAAACTTCGCCTGGGGGACACAGTAACATGAATGTAACTGTCAAGATAAATGTATTCATATTTGGATTTAAGACATACATATCAAACTTGATACATACATGCACATTTGCGTGTCTGTAAGCCTGCACATCTCTCACTGTAATACACACACAAACAGAAAGAGTGGTAGACGGTCGGGACAAGATCAGCGAGAAGGTGGTGGAGGCCAAAACCGTCAGTAGTTTCAAGGTGTTATTTGACAAAGAGTATTGGGAAGACGGGACACCACGAGCGTAGCTCTCATCCTGTAACTACACTTAGGTAGTTACACACACACACACACACACACACACACACTGGTGGGACGCGAACAAGGGGACACAGGTGGAAACTGAGTACCCACATGAGCCACAGAGACGTTAGAAGGAACTTTTTCAGTGTCAAAGTAGTTAATGGATGGAATGCATTAGGCAGTGATGTGGTGGAGGCTGACTCCATACACAGTTTCAAATGTAGATATGATAGAGCCCAGTAGGCTCAGGAACCTGTACACCAGTTGTTTGACAGTTGAGAGGCGGGACCAAAGAGCCAAAGCTCAACCCCCGCAAGCACAAATAGGTGAGTACACACACACACACACACACACACACACACACACACACACACACACAGCACCAACATGGGTTCTGGACAGGGAAATCATGCCTAACAAACCTTTTAGAATTCTATGATAAAGTAACAAGGATAAGGCAGGACAGAGAAGGCTGGGCAGACTGCATATTTCTTGACTGCCAAAAGGCCTTTGATACGGTACCGCACATGAGACTGCTATACAAACTTGAGAGGCAGGCAGGAGTAAGCGGAAAGGCCCTAGTATGGGTGAAGAACTACCTAACAGGAAGGAGCTAGAGGGTAATGGTGAGGGGCGAAAAGTCGGACTGGCGAACAGTAACAAGTGGAGTACCTCAAGGATCGGTGCTGGGACCAATCCTCTTTCTAATTTACGTAAATGATATGTTTACAGGAGTGGAATCATACATGTCAATGTTTGCAGATGACGCAAAATTAATGAGAAGAGTTGTGACAGACGAGGATTGTAGGATCCTCCAAGAGGACTTACACAGGCTGCAGAGATGGTCAGAGAAATGGCTACTGGAGTTTAACACCAGTAAATGTAAAGTTATGGAAATGGGATCAGGTGACAGGAGACCAAAGGGACAGTACACAATGAAGGGGAACAGCCTACCTGTAACGATTCGAGAAAGAGACCTGGGAGTGGATGTGACACCCAATCTAACTCCTGAGGCACATATAAATAGGATAACGACAGCAGCGTACTCTACACTGGCGAAAATTAGAACTTCATTCAGAAACCTAAATGAGGAAGCTTTTAGGGCGCTTTACACTGCCTACGTGAGACCCGTCTTAGAGTATGCCGCGCCATCATGGAGCCCCCACCTGAAGAAACACATAAAGAAACTGGAGAAGGTTCAGAGGTTTGCGACGAGGCTTGTCCCAGAGCTACGAGGGATGGGATATGAAGAGCGGCTGAAGGAACTGAACCTTACGACACTAGAGAAAAGAAGGGAGAGAGGAGATATGATAGGGACATATAAAATACTCAGGGGAATTGACAAAGTGGAAATAGATCAAATGTTCACACGTAATAATAACAGAACGAGGGGACATGGGTGGAAACTGGAAACTCAGATGAGTCACAGAGATGTTAGGAAGTTTTCTTTTAGCGTGAGAGTAGTAGAAAAATGGAATGCACTTGGGGAACAGGTTGTGGAAGCAAATACTATTCATACTTTTAAAACTAGGTATGATAGGGAAATGGGACAGGAGTCATTGCTGTAAACAACCGATAGCTAGAAAGGCGGGATCCAAGAGTCAATGCTCGATCCTGCAAGCACATATAGGTGAGTACATATAGGTGAGTACACACACACACACACACACACACACACACACACACACACACACACACACACACTAGTACACACACACACACTAGGACACACACACACACACACACACCCACACCCACACACCCACACACACACACACACACACACACACACACACACACACACACACACACACACACACACACACACACACACACACCCACACACACACACACACACACACACACACACACACACACACACACACACACACACACACACACACACACACACACACACACACACACACACACACACACACACACACACACACACACACACACCAACACACACACACACATACACCTAAAACTCACCAAGTTTGACTTATTATCCATCAACATGATGATGGTAGAGGCGCCGGAGTCCTTCACCATCCTCCAGAAGTCGCCGACGGTGTGAGGCAGTGGGTGGGGCGTCACCAGCATCTCCTGATACCCGTTCTGTCAAGTCAACAAGGGCAGCAATTGAACAATTGCTTCACGAATAAACACAATTAGACCAAGACGGAGAATGGAAGGAGGAAGAAACAGATATAGACACACACACACACGTGCCTATAATCATATGCAATCAATAACTAGTATTATTTATATACATAAACTTGTACGCATTATCTACAATAATTAGCTGATGCAAATAGTCATTGTATATAGAATCCTTATTTATAGTTTTTAACTAACACCATTATCAAGTCAATTACAAGAAATTATTCAACAACCGTGGACATCTTCAAGAGAAAACTGGACGGTTTTCTAAGAGAAGTTCCGGATCAGCCGGGCTGTGGTGGGTAAGTGGCCCTGCGGGCCGCTCCAAGCAACAGCCTGGTGGACCAAACTCTCACAAGTCAAGCCTGGCCTCGGGCCGGGCTTGGGGAGTAGAAGAACTCCCAGAACCCCATCAACCAGGTATATGTGGGCCTGCGGGCCGCTCCAAGCAACAGCCTGGTGGACCAGACTCTCACAAGTCAAGCCTGGCCTCGGGCCGGGCTTGGGGAGTAGAAGAACTCCCAGAACCCCATCAACCAGGTATTTAACCGATGAATACGACACAAAAATTACAACAAAAGATACCCCCCCCATCAATGTAATACGAGAAAGCTACCGAAACATCCTCAAATACAGAGCTTATAGTTTCTCTATAATCCCCAAAGCAATTGATCATAATATCTTTTGCCCGAAACGCTCTCCGTATTAGTGGCTTTAGGCATAGTATGTACTAGCTCTATCTAGAACTCCAACATTCTTTGTAACTCATCTTGTAAATATTTTAAATTAGATTTTGCTTCGAGTGGTGAGTTTATTGGGCAGCGCCACTCATCCTGTGAGTGGACACACCGCCATAGTGACAGTATTGGGCAGCGCCACTCATCCTGTGAGTGGACATACCGTCATAGTGACAGTATTGGGCAGCGCCACTCATCCTGTGAGTGGACACACCGCCATAGTGACAGTATTGGGCAGCACCACTCATCTTGTGAGTGGACACACCGCCATAGTGACAGTATTGGGCAGCGCCACTCATCCTGTGAGTGGACACACCGTCATAGTGACAGTATTGGGCAGCGCCACTCATCCTGTGAGTGGACACACCGCCATAGTGACAGTATTGGGCAGCACCACTCATCCTGTGAGTGGACACACCGCCATAGTGACAGTATTGGGCAGCACCACTCATCTTGTGAGTGGACACACCGCCATAGTGACAGTATTGGGCAGCGCCACTCATCCTGTGAGTGGACACACCGTCATAGTGACAGTATTGGGCAGCGTCACTCATCCTGTGAGTGGACACACCGCCATAGTGACAGTATTGGGCAGCGCCACTCATCCTGTGAGTGGACACACCGCCATAGTGACAGTATTGGGCAGCGCCACTCATCCTGTGAGTGGGCATACCGTCATAGTGACAGTATTGGGCAGCGCCACTCATCCTGTGAGTGGACACACCGCCATAGCAGCATGTACAACACTCCCCAATATTAAGAAAACCCGCTGGGTTGTTCATCCTGTCACTTGTACCCAGACACAGCTGAGACTTGCTTAATTGTCTCAAGTGAAAAGCTCCTGAAACAAGAAGATTAACATCTGTCTGTATGTACTTTTACCTGCATAAACATTTATTTATTATTTATTTATTTATTTATAAGAGGGGTAATATCTACCAGAGAGTACAATAAACAGGTTTGTAATCATTAGCTTTTAATATTACTATCATATGATGGTAATGGGTTGAAGTGTTGATGGTGTATCTTCTTGAGGTTATCTTGAGATGATTTCGGGGCTTTTTAGTGTCCCGCGGCCCGGTCCTCGACCAGGCCTCCACCCCCAGGAAGCAGCCCGTGACAGCTGACTAACACCCAGGTACCTATTTTACTGCTAGGTAACAGGGGCATAGGGTGAAAGAAACTCTGCCCATTGTTTCTCGCCGGCGCCTAGGATCGAACCCAGGACCACAGGATCACAAATCCAGCGTGCTGTCCGCTCGGCCGACCGGCTCCCATGTCATTTATGTGCTACATACACACATATAAATTGCCTATACAGTATACCTAGGTCATAAAAGTATTTGTGTGTACGTCTGATACCATACTACTTGTGTAAAGGAGGAAATGTATATGTTTATCTCTCAGAATGTTCGGTAATACGTTTATTGCTTGTGATGTGTGTCTATGTATGTGTTAATACGGTGTACTGAACGGGGTGAGAATAGCTTGAGCTACCTCATCCCTTTGTGTGTATTTTACATCAATAAACTGATTTCAATTTCAATTTCAATTACACACATATATACTAAATTTAAAGTGATTTTGTATATAAAATTGAAAGATACTAAAAGAAATGTCATATAATTCAGTTCTTACAGCTGCCGCTAGATGTCTAAACTTGTACACATGTTCTATTTGCAGCTGTATAATAGGATGGAAGAGATTTAGTAAGAGTGGAGATATTGGCTCAAAACACAATAGAAATACATTAAATACAATTACTCTATGTATACCAATTGTCATAATACAGCTCCAGGGCTGAATATGTATACAGAATACATTGCTTGAAGGTATACGGATTCAAATTATGAAGTGATCTTACAAGACCATTATTGAGACAACCCTAAACTATTTTGACAAATACTCTACGTAAGACCCAAAATTGTCGTACAAGAAAATGGAAGCAGCTGGCGAAAGTGACATACTGTCACGTTTTCTGTTTTGGGTCCTCTGGTAGGTTAGGATAAGGGCACTTTAATACCACAATTTCTTAACGTTGGGAAACCTTAGGAGGAACCGCTGCCGCAAGAACCTGTGGTGGCTTTTAGAGCCCTTCCGCAAGTTTTTTTTTTATTATTATTATTTTCTACCACAGACGTGGCCACACATTTACAATGCTAACCAGCATATATACATTTTCTTCTGTCCTCCATGGCCATCTGCGACTGTTGGGCCTTATGCCAAACACGAGACGATGGCGTTGTAATTACCTTCCCGCCAAACACACACCGAAACTACGACGTTGGTACAACGTTGGAACAAGTTTTAACACCTCCTAACCAGTTATAACAACCAATATAGCAAGTTGTAACAACGTTCTAATACGTCATAAACACGTTAAGCCAAGATGTAACAACTTTATTACAAGTTGTAACAGGCGGAAAATAGAGACAGTTTCGGTTTGTGTTTCCAGGGTTGTACCTTACCTTACCTTGAGGTGCTTCCGGGGCTTGGCGTCCCCGCGGCCCGGTCGACGACCAGGCCTCCTGGTTGCTGGACTGATCAACCAGGGAACAGTGGCGGGAGAGTTCTCCATTAACCTCTTTACGGGCTATTCATGCCCGTGCCACCTCTTGGGTGGCTTAATCTTCATCATTAACCTCAGTGGTATTGAAGGTACACCAAAAATAACCACGGAGGATTTACGCAAATGGGAGGACCTGCGACAATCCGCCGGCATCCTGTCCTCGTCGAGGCCACTAGTGCTATATTGGCCTAACCACAGAGGAGTAATACTTTGTTACATTAATCACAATGGTGATGGTGATGATATAATGGAGGCATTATCCACTCAACGCATGATCCTGTGGTCCCGGGTTCGATCCCGGGCGCCGGCGAGAAACAATGGGCAGAGTTTCTTTCACCCTGATGCCCCTGTTACCTAGCAATAAATAGGTACCTGGGTGTTAGTCAGCTGTCACGGGCTGCTTCCTGGGGGTGGAGGCCTGGTCGAGGACCGGGCCGCGGGGACACTAAAGCCCCGAAATCATCTCAAGATAGCCTCAAGATAACCACAGTGGTATTACTGATTACTTGTAATACCCGCAGTAGCGACACTAGAGTACCGTTATCTTGAGATGATTTCGGGCTTTAGTGTCCCCGCGGCCCGGTCCTCGACCAGGCCTCCACCCCCAGGAAGCAGCCCGTGACAGCTGACTAACACCCAGGTACCTATTTTACTGCTAGGTAACAGGAGCATAGGGTGAAAGAAACTCTGCCCATTGTTTCTCGCCGGCGCCCGGGATCGAACCCGGGACCACAGGATCACAAGTCCAGCATGCTGTCCGCTCGGCCGACCGGCTCCCTTACATTACTTACTTACTTTACATAACCGTACTTACATTAACTACAGTGGCGTTGATGTAGTCCTTCCCGAGGTGCCTCGTGACATCATAGGGTTCAGAGCGCCTTAGTCGGCTTCGCAGGGGCTTCAGTTTGTAACGATAGCGATCAGCTGGCGAAGAAATAGAATTATGGCTTATATCAGTTGTCACTCTAACTATCAGCTGAAATATTGAAGAAATATATTTATGACTTATATCAGTTGTCACTATCAGCTGGCGAAGAAATAGAATTACGGCTTATATCAGTTGTCACTATCAGCTGGCGAAGAAATAGAATTATGGCTTATATCAGTTGTCACTCTTATCAGCTGAAATATTCAAATATAACAATTACTACTAGATATGATCCATAAATAACGCTTGTATTTGGTGCCGAGACCGTAACAAAATCACATGTCCCTCCTCACGTCACTGTTTTATCCAGCTTCTTTATGGGTGTTGTATTGCTGGGCCTAGGATTGGTTAGATCTTTTTATTCTTTATTTTGCAATTATTGCAACCCGTCCTCGACTCAAGTCCATTACATCCAGCGGTCGACCCCACAGACGCATTCATCAATTTTAACATGCTGTTCATTCCAAACGGGAATTTTCTCAAGTATAAATCAATATTATAATATAGTAGCATATTGTGCATATATAGGCATAGGTTAGGTTAGGTTAGGTTAGGTGTTTAGGTTCTGTTGGCGATTATTTGTATTTGTAGTACGTGGGTGAAGCATTTACAGCGTTGTGGTTCGAACAAAATTCGTCAGTGAAGCACTTGTTCCGGAAGTGTTCGAAGGAAATCAGTTGTGAGTCGTGTGTAAACCGTTTTTCATTCATAAACAGCTGGGGTTTGGCCAGCCCGTCCTCCAAACAAAGATCCAAAAGTGATTCCATGCACCCGCCAAACCCCCTGTTTATGAATGAAAAGCGGTTTACACACGACTCACAACTGCTGACGTTCGAACATATCCGGAACAAGTGTTTCACTGACGAATTTTGTTCGAATCACAACGCTATAAATGCTTCACCCACGTACTACAAATACAAATAATCGCCAACAGAACCTAAACACCTAACCTAACCTAACCTATGCCTATATATACACAATATGCTAATATATTATAATATTCATTTAAACTTGAGAAAATTCCCGTTTTGAATGAATAACATATTAAAATTTATGAATGCGTCTGTGGGGTCGACCGCTGGATGTAATGGACTTAGAGTCGAGGACGGGTTGGGTTTGGCGGGTGGATGGAATCACTTTTGGATCTTGGTTTGGAGGACGGGCTGAATCGGTTGTAGTGACAAATGGCTATTTATTTTTAATAAGACACAAGGATGAGGAACGTTGACCAGACCAGATACTAGAAGGTGAAGGGCCGACGACGTTTCGGTCCGTCCTGGACCATTCTCAAGGACTTGAGAATGGTCCAGGACGGACCAAAACGTCGTCGTCGTCGTCCCTTCACCTTCTAGTGTTTGGTCTGGTCAACATACTTCAGCCACGTTATTGTTACTCATCGCCTGCAAGGATAAGAAATATTAGCCTGACCTAAGAAGGATAAAGTCAATCTCCGTGGGGTCAAAAGCCTAATTACAAATTTGCAAATACAGTACTTGCCAAGAATAAAGAAAATATCTTTTGTTGCATAACAAAAAGAGAAAGTTTTCTTGTTTGGTTTTACTGTGTACTTAAATATGAACTTATTGGTCTTATTTACAATAAATAAGTTTAATTATTTACCCCGAGCTCGCGGCTACCCATCAGGACCGGGCTGGCTTGAGATAGCCTAGCAGAAGAGGATGGTGTCTTGGCTCACTAGGCCACTCCATCTAGACTTCCTCTTGGCTCATTAGCCCACCCTCATCTAGACTTCCTCTTGGCTCACTAGGCCACTCCATCTAGACTTCCTCTTAGCTCACTAGCCCACCTCCATCTAGACTTCCTCTTGGCTCACTAGCCCACCCTCATCTAGACTTCCTCTTGGCTCACTAGGTCACTCGATCTAGACTTCCTCTTAGCTCACTAGCCCACCTCCATCTAGACTTCCTCTTGGCTCACTAGGCCACTTCATCTAGACTGACTCTTGGCTCACTAGGCCACTTCATCTAGACTTCCTCTTGGCTCACTAGCCCACCCTCATCTAGACTTCCTCTTGGCTCACTAGGCCACTCCATCTAGACTTCCTCTTAGCTCACTAGCCCACCTCCATCTAGACTTCCTCTTGGCTCACTAGCCCACCTCCATCTAGACTTCCTCTTGGTTCACTAGGCCACTCCATCTAGACTTCCTCTTAGCTCACTAGCCCACCTCCATCTAGACTTCCTCTTGGCTCACTAGGCCACTTCATCTAGACTGACTCTTGGCTCACTAGGCCACTTCATCTAGACTTCCTCTTGGCTCACTAGCCCACCCTCATCTAGACTTCCTCTTGGCTCACTAGGCCACTCCATCTAGACTTCCTCTTAGCTCACTAGCCCACCTCCATCTAGACTTCCTCTTGGCTCACTAGCCCACCTCCATCTAGACTTCCTCTTGGCTCACTAGGCCACTCCCATCTAGACTTCCTCTTGGCTCACTAGGCCACTCCCATCTAGACTTCCTCTTAGCTCGCTTAACCCGGCCAGTGGACGAGGAAGTCGTCTTGGCAAACTGGGAGCCTCGCCCGCTAAACGCTTGTGCTGCACGCAACCCACACTCACACACACACACACTCACACACACTTTTCTGAAAACATTCTCTGCAATACCCCCACTTCTATTAGCAATTCATTTACCGCCATCTGCTCTTCTCTACTCTCTTGTCTTCCGCTGTGTCGTTTGCCTCTTCTTTACGGATGCTTGCCCCTTCTGTGCCTTGGTCTGCCCTCTTCTGTTGTTGTCTGCCTTCTTCTGTTGATGTCTGTCCTCCACTATCATTGTCTGTCCTCCACTATCATTGTCTGTCCTCCACTATCATTGTCTGTCCTCCACTATCATTGTCTGTCCTCCACTAGCGTTGTCTGTCCTCCACTAGTGTTGTCTGTCCTCCACTATCATTGTCTGTCCTCCACTATCACTGTCTGTCCTCCACTAGCGTGGTCTGTCCTCCACTATCACTGTCTGTCCTCCACTATCACTGTCTGTCCTCCACTATCATTGTCTGTCCTCCACTATCACTGTCTGTCCTCCACTATCACTGTCTGTCCTCCACTATTACTGTCTGTCCTCCACTATCACTGTCTGTCCTCCACTATCATTGTCTGTCCTCCACTATCACTGTCTGTCCTCCAC